CCCCAAAACCCCAAAACCCCGAGATAGATAAATATTAATGAAATTTGCTTGGTAAAAATTGATAATTTATTAGCCATAAATATAAATGAAAAAAGCTTTACATACAGGATTTAAAGCCTACTAGCAGCCATTTAAGTATCTATAGAATAGAAGACTACTGTATTTTGTATCCAATTAAGAGCTACTAAACTCTTAACCCGAAAACTTAGAGAAGATGCTTCCAAAGGATAAGAGTATATATATAGGGTTTGATCCAACAGCTGAAAGTATTCATCTTGGGAATTATGTTGGACTTTTGACTTTAACTCATTTCAGATTAGCTGGATATAATCCCATAATAGTTTTTGGAGGTGCCACTGCACTTATAGGAGATCCAAGTGGTAAAGTTAATGATAGGCAATAGTTATTAAAAGAATAAGTAGAGAATAACCTAAAGAAATTCGAGTTGCAGTTTAGCTACTTGACAAAAAATATTGATCGGTACTTGCAATCAAAGTAAAATGAGATTGAAGATTTGAGGGACATAGGAGTGATTAAGCCTTATAAGTTTGTAAATAACTATGACTTCTACAGAGACTTGAATCTCATAACATTCTTGAGAGATATCGGAGTGCATTTCAGACTAAATAATATGATTGCAAAAGACTCAGTCAAATCCAGAATTGATGCTAAGGATGGAGGAGATGGAATGAGTTTTACTGAATTTACTTATTAAATTTTCCAAGGCTATGACTTCTTCAGACTGAGGAAAGATCATAATTGCTAGATGCAAATTGGAGGAAGTGATCAATGGGGAAATATATCTAGTGGATGTGAATTAATCAGAAGAGTGCTAAATGAAGAAGCTTATGGTGCAACTATCCAACTACTGGTGAACTCATAGGGGTAAAAGTTTGGTAAATCTGAAGGAAATACAGGAGGCATATGGTGTGATCCTAAGAAAACTGAGCCATACGATTTATATCAATTCTTACTAAATATCTCTGATTAGGATGTTGAGAATCTACTCTATAAATTAACTTTCCTTCCTCTGTAATTGATAGATGAGACTATGATTGTGCATAATTAAGATTAGGAAAAAAGAGTTGCTTAGAAATTATTAGCGTCGACATTATGTGAGATTATCCATGGTCAAGAAGGAGTCGATTAAGCTATAGGTGCTACTGGCGCATTTTTCAGGTTTAAAATAGAAGAAATTATGTAAATGAGCAAGGATTAATTTCAGGAAAATTTCAAGCACACTAAAAAGATTCAGATACTATTAAACGAAGGCCAAGAAATTGATATGATAAGTATAGGTCATCAAGCTGGTGTAAAGCAAACAAAAGCTGATATTCGAAGACTAATAGATTAAAAAGGATTGGTAGTTAATGGAAAGCAAATAGAAAGCAACAAATAAATTAAAAAATAAGATCTGCTACACTAAAAATATTTAATACTTAGATCTGGTAAAAAGAATTTTGCTCTTGTAGAAGTGGATTACTAATGAGATTTATGATGAATTATTAAAAGTAGAATTAACTTTCATTCAATTATTTATTGATCAATGAGTGATGGGGTTTTGGGGTTTTGGGGTTTTGGGGTTTTGGGG